CTGCCCATCTCCTGATTTGATTCCCTCTCTTCTTTCTGTCTTCTTTCTTCAATCTGTCGCTTCTTACGACACTCATGGGATGATATGTGGTAGTGGACATGCTTACACCGCCACTACATTACACGATATATTACAATGAGAAAATTAGTGACTGCCGAACATTTTTATTATAATAACTCAAAAATAATAAAAACGGTGGGATCACCGACACACTAACAAATATTACAAATTAATAAAGAGATAATTATTTGGCCGTTTAAACACACAAAAAATCAACAACAAAATACAAAAAAAAAAAACGACACACACAAAAAATCAACACACAAACATCAGCCCTGATTTCAGTGGACACCACATTACATACATACACACACATATATATATATACACACACACACACACATATATATATATACTATTTAGATTATTATTAATCTAAATATTGTTTGTAATTGTTTCTTATCTTATAAACGTTAGATACGTTACGTAAGGGAGGCCTATTTTTTGCAGTGGATTTTGATAGGAGTAAACTTTAATGATAGTGGTGTGATGATGATGATGATGATTTTATGTTTTTAAGAAGTAAGTGTGACGAACGAACCCAGTTCATTGCAGATTATTTTTAGATTATGTAGCACATAGATAACTACATCTATCCTTCATAAACACGTGTATTTATTCTTAACTTCATTCCTTAAATTCTAAAAATGATCGTGACGAGGCCGGATTGCCACTTTCAACGATACTGGTTAGAGCTGGCAAAAGGATTCAAATGATTACCGACACAGTCGTTAACTAAAATTGTTACTAATATAGTTACACATAATATGGAATATCCAATGTCCGAAATAAAGTTATTCTTATTATCATTATTACAATATAAAAACATAGTGGGTGGACTTGTGGGAAATTTATTGAAGTATTCTCTACCAATCAAACCATGGAGTGATGATAATTTAACGTAGGTGTAGAAAAAGCCATGTTACACATAAATAAACTATTTAAATATAACTTATAGGCACATACATAAATGTGTACATACACACATATACATATTCATCATCATCATAATAATTACAGCCATTCATAATTCCACTGCTGAACATAGGCCTCCCCCAAGGTATGCCATAAAGCGTGGCCTGAGCCACCTGCATCCATCGACTTCCTGCATGTATTACCAGGTCGTCACTCCATCTAGTGGGGGTCGCCCTACACTATGCCTACCGTCCGTTACGAGGCTGCCACTCGAGAACCTTTTTTCCCCAACGGTTGTCGTTTCTTCGAGCTTTATGGCCGGCCCATTGCCACTTCAGCTTACTAATCCTCATTTATAAGTTTATCACGCAGAGAAACTCCGAGAATAGCCCTCCCCATAGTTCGCTGAGCAACTTTGAGCGTCCTCATACGGCCAACAGTGAAGGACTACGTCTCGGTTCCGTAGGTCGTCACTGGTAACACTCACTGGTTGTACAACTTAGTTTACAGGTTTTGAGGTATACCTGACGCGAATATGTGTCGTAATTTCCCGAACGCTGCTCAGCCGAGTTGAATCCGTCGATTGACCTCTCGGTCGAAGTTGGACTTACCTAGTCGGACTATTTGTCCCAAAACGTACTCGTCAACAACTTCGAGTTTAGTGCTCCCAACAACTACCGGCATAGGTGTGACAAGGACATTAAACATGATCTCTGTTTTGTCCATGTTCATCTTAAGACCTATCCGTTGGGAGGCACTATTGAGGACTTTGAGCATCGTGCTTAAGTTCTGCAGCGATTCTGCCATAAGGACTATATCGTCGGCAAATCGAAGGTGAGTGATGTACTCGCCATTGATGTTAATACCGTATCCTTTCCAGTCCAGTAGCTTAAAAACGTCTTCCAATGCAGCGGTGAAGAGTTTCGGGGAAATAACGTTACCCTGTCTTGCACCTCTCTGTGGTTGGATAGGTTTCGTACTCTGGTTATGTACTCGGATAGCCATCGTACCACTTCGATATACCGACAGTCAACTTGGCACCGCTGAGGAGACTGTAGCACCGCCCAAATTTCGTCGGAATTAAAGGCCTCATAGTCCACATACGCCAGGCAAAGTGGCAGATTGTACTCTTCTGGCTTCTGTACAATTTGCCGAAGGGTATGTATGTGGTCTATGGTACCAAAGCCTTTTCGGAAATCGGCTTGTTTGGGAGGCTGAAAGTCGTTGAGTCCGCGTGCGAGACGATTCGTAATAACTCTCGAAAACAGCACAAAGACGCGGCTCAGAAGGTATATCGGTCTGTAGTTCTTCAAGAGGGCGTTGTCACCTTTCTTGAAGAACAAGACCACCGCACTTCTGCTCCACGCCTCCGGAGTAGTGCCACCGTGGACGGAATTAAAGAGCCTCTGAAGGACTTCAAGTACCGGTTCTCGCCCGGGGACTTGCCGTTTTTAAGGTGCTGGAGAGCCATTCTAATCTCGCTCAGACTGACGTCTGGGATATCATCAGAATAGTGTCGAATAAGACTTGCTCTTGAATCGTTACTCACACTTGCGTATGGCTCCAAAGATGATGTATACAGCTGCCCATAGAACCTCTCAATCACACTCAGAATCTCAGGTGTCCCGGAAACGATGCTGCCACAATCAGTCTTCAGCTTTGACAGTTGGCTCTTACTGGCAGACAGATCTCTGGCATAGACTTTGGAGCCCTGGTTCCGCTCGATCGCTTCTTCAATACGAGCAGTATTAAAGTTGCCTGAGTCTCGCCGTATGCATTTGGAGATCTGTCTGTTAAGTTGCCCGTATGCTGTCAAATCTGTTCACGATTGCAGCCTCATCTCCCGTCTAACAGCCATGAGATTAAGATTGTGATCGGAGAGTTTTTGTGTTTTTCTGCGGCGGGTCTTGCAGAACTTAGCTCCGACCGCATGGACAGCTTCCACGAGCTTGTCATTCATATCGTCCACTGCATTGCAATCTTCTAGGCACTGAAAGCGGTTACGTAACTCGAGCTGAAAGGTTTCGGGATTCTGGATTAGAGCAGGAGGGGCCGGCGCGTTGACTTCATTAGACGAGACCTCTCCAACTTAACGTTTAGGTTCAGTGTGCCTCTAACCATTTGGTGATCGCTGCCGGTTTTCACCCTTGCGATCACTGAGACGTCACTGAAAAGTTACGTAATGAAGTCAATCTCATTTTTTGTAGATTCGTCGGGGCTCGACCAGGTCCACTTTCTGTGAGGCCACTTCTGGAAGAAAGAGTTCGTCACAAAGAGTCCCTCTTTCTCCATAAAGAGGGCCAGCTGCTGGCCCCTACGTTTTCTTTGCCCCACTCCAAATTTCCCTGACTACATTTCACTGCTTTCTCTTGTGCCTAGTTTTGCGTTGAAATCTCCCATTAACAACGTGTAGTGGATTTTGGAGGAATGCATGGCTCTAGAAATATCCTCATACATTTCCTTCACCTTCTCATCGGAATGTACCAAGGTTGGTGGGTAAACCTGTATGACCTTCAGCGAATACCGTTTGGTGATTTTGAATATCAGGTACGCGACCCTCGTCGGCAAACTCACAATCTTTACAACGTTGTTGACGAGAGACTTGTGAACGATAAATCTGACACCTCCTTGGGACAGATGGTCGCCCTCCCGGTGATAGAACAAGTTGCCGGACTCGAGGATTACCGTGTCCTCCCCCTTTCTTCGGACCTCGGATAATCCAATAATATGCCAGCGCAACTTGTCTACCTCTTCTTCCAACTCCAGTATCTTCTCGTCAGTCCTCAGGGTGCGTGCGTTATATGTTGCTAGGTCGAGTCGTCGTAGGTGGTAACCGAACCTCCACCGGAGATTCTTAGCACCCCCTGCCCCACCGTTACCATGGTTGCCACCTTAGCCAGGAATAGCGGGGGCTGGGATCTTACTCATGTGGGATATTGTCATCAGTTTTTTAATATATTATTTGTTATTAAGAAGATGCTGCTCCCATCCCTGCCCGTCTCCCTCTGTTGCCTCTTACGACACCTACGGGAAGATATAGGGTAGTGGATATTCTCAACCGCCACTACACGGCATTATATTAATACATAAATAAAACATACAAAGAACTACGAATAAATAGGTATGTTTAGCATCATATACGACATGGATGATTCATGTAAGAAGCGTAGTCTTTAATAGATGATTACGTACCAACTTTTTAAAAGCATACTTGGCGTTGTCACTCATGTGGACTATGATGCAATGTTTCGACACAATAAAAAGGGTCTCCGGTTCTTGTCACTTACTAAATGAAACGTCATCACAATGATGTCATTTTACGCTGGTACTATTCAATAAACTATCAAGTGGGTGCGGTGTATCTGAATACATCACTCCATTTCGTTTTTTTTTCTTTTATAGAACGTCACAGCATCCACTCATCATCAGGATGAAGTGTGTGCTACTGTGTTAAACTTATTTTATATAATCGAAATAAATAAATATGAAAACTGATACAGGGAAATGTGTCAACCAATGTCAGATTGTAAAATGGCAACAACCCCATTTCGTACTGACAGTGTCGTAAGAGGCGACGATGGAAAATACCAGAGAGATCATATGGCTTTCGTAAGGCGCTGAAACAGCAGCTTTACTCAGGAAAAGAGCAGCATCAAAAGTGCAAGACGTTTGCCTTTGCGATCGTCAAGCCAGCTATAAAATTATTCGTTTTCCCTAACGAACCGTTTTGCAGTAGATAAAGTTAACGAAAAAAGTAATAAATCAATGGCCATGTCAATAATCTAGTAAGTAATAATTTGGAGTTGATTAAAAATGACATCGTACAATGCTATTAGTCAAACTATATTTATCCAGAGTAAAAACCCATGTAATATTCATTCTTGTTATCTTAACATAGGTTAAGGTTCATTTGTGTCACAGATTGCAGAAAAAAATCGTTGACATTTATTTATTTTATTTGATAAACGCATTTATAAATGTTGTCCAAGTTTAAACAGCTTCAGTTGTGAAACCGAATTAAGGCAATGTACCGTTTAATCGCCATTCTACTTTTCGTCAACCTCGCGTCTTGTCATTGGCATCATGAACACAACCATGGATGCGGTGAACATGGCCACTGGAGACACTCATGGCATCACCGGCATAACGATGACAATTATTTCGAAAGGCTTGCTCAATGCGTGATCTCCGCTGACAATCTTCTTAAGACCAGTTGTGCCCAGAGTACGTATAATCGAACGCGTGTATATCAAGGAGTGGATTTTTACGTACTCAAATATTATCTCCAGGAATTTACCGAAAGGAGCATTAGTGTGCAGATTAAACATAGGGTTATATTTGTCACAGCGCAAGAAGAGGGCATTGAAACATTTAAAGATTTGCGGATTTTGCCAGGTTCAGTCAAGACGACCGATGCTAAATGGTACTTCGAGGATGGCTTACTTAGGGTGTTATTTTCTTACAAAGATCCGTTAAAAACTGAGGTGATATTAACTTGTGGCGATCCTAACCAAACTCTTATTAATGTTCCTAAACTTGAGAATGATCAAAACAATTTAAGATTCTTGAAAGAATTTACATAAGTACTCATAACGATATTTGTAATTTTTTTTTAAATTTTTGAGTAAAAAAATATGTTTTGGTTTAAATTACAAACATATAGTGTTGTAATAAAATTTGTTCACGCAAATTTTATTTTCTGTGTGTTTTTCAAACCTGCTTTTCCTCAAATTTCTACCTAAATAATAAGTGTATGTAGGTACTTTTCGGTATTAGTTTTTATTACCGTTATCGGGAAAAATGCGCAAACAACTTATCTGCTTGTAAATGGACCAAGGATCAAAGGATTTTCAAACACAAACTGGCATGTGATTCAGATAGGTGGTAATTTGAGGTCACCGATGGTATTCTGCAAGAGACCATTTTAAAATCTATAAATCGGACACAGAATCCTAACCTAATTTTGGCATTTACATCAAACAACATTAGTGCATGTTTATATGTGTACCTTGTAATTATATTTTGGTTTCTATCGTTAGATTTTTAATTATTACATTAGAAGTAGTGCAACATTTTTGAGTAAGTAAGAACGTAACGGTCTCTTTATATAAAACTGGAGTTATAGTCCACCTAATAGTAAGTGGCGACTGCAACCGATGGTCAATAACAAGTTTCTGTTACGAAATTTAAACAAAAAAAGGCTACAGCTAGGATTGCTACGATGCGTTGTCAACTCTGGTGACTAGAATAAAATACTGCAAAGTCTGTAATTATTATACAGGCTCTCCATACTCTTCTATTTTGCATCAGAAATAGGCAAGAGGGTACCCAGCCGGTGGGACACCTACGGGAGATTACTACCACCTAGTCATTTACTAGATATAGAGGTTATATTTCCCCTTAAGGCATCATTGTAGCATCTATCATCTTTAATGAACTTGTATATTTCAATGGGGCCATTTATTTTAATTGTATATTTCATTTTTGTATATTAAACTTGTATATTTCAATTATAACCTGGGGAGAAGAAAGTAACATCGAAAACCTACACAAATACCTAATACTTCTCACAAAAAATTAATATCTGAGAGTATCTTTATTGATTAGGTATTTAGTCTTTTCAGTCTTTATTGAATAAGAACTGTAACTATAAAAGATTTCGAGATTACACTTAATGAGGTAAGTGAATAAATAAAAAATGTAAGTAAATATTTTATTACACTCTTTCTCGAGCTGCCATATTTCTAGGTACTCGAGGGTATATCAGTTCTAGTAATAAACAATGAAAATAAAATAGATTATGTTTTGGCTGCATTTTTCTCTCCAAAAGTGGTCATCGTACTTAATTTTTTCATACGCCAAAACACGTGGCGCCCATACTACGAAAAAACGAAATTGCCTACCAGTGATATGTTATTTTCCCTGGACCTGATAATAGTAATCATGATTTCTTTTTAAAATCATCTCTCCTTCTCGTATCAAACAACATTTGATCCGTTCTTCCGCTTCTAACTGTGCATTGTGTAACAATGCACATACGAAATAATCTTTATAAATATAGCAATTTTTAAACACGACTTCTACAGAAAGATTTAATAATATAAAATAGAATAAAATTTGTGATAATTGCCAGATTTACGTAGTCGTTTTAGTTGTGAACTAAAGATATTTTGGATATTTATTTTCAGGTCGGACGACCAAATCACATGCAAAAACCGTTACGCTGAACGAGGCAAGACAATCACAGACAGCTTGTTTTTTCGGATGGCTTAATGTCGGCGGTCCTGACCACTATCAGACTCCAGTGGCCCTCTTATCCACGCATTTACACAATCCTACAAAGCCATTGTTTAATATATGCTCTTGGGGTGAACAGTGTGCTCTTGCTCGATACTCTGGTGTCAACCCTCTCGTTCTTCCAATTCCAATCAAACTCTTATATTGCTTTTATTTTTTGTATATTAATATTTGTAATAATATAACAATTATGTCTCTTTTTAATATATAATAGCTTCAAATATAAGTTCAAGACTAATGACTACTAGTCATTTTGAACAGATTTGCTATAGATAATAAAATATTTTAGCATTGTATTCTAGACTGTCAATATTATAAAAAAACCGGCCAAGAGCGTGTCGGGCCACGCTCAGTGTAGGGTTCCGTAGTTTCCCGTCCGTCACAATAAGTGTTCCCACTTATGAGTTTAAAGGTGGGTATCCATTATGTTCGCGCTCCAGCAGCGCTCCGCGCTCCTGCAACTGCTCCCCGTAGTGGGTACTGTTGTTTCCATCCAAGTTCAAAATGATTTTCCTAGAAAGTCCTTATTTATATATTTTTTTCATATTTTCTAAACTTATGGTTCAAAAGTTAGAGGGGGGGGGGGAACACATTGTTCTTTACTTTTGGAGCGATTATTTCCGAAATTATTGACATTATCAAAAATGATTTTAGTAAACCCATATTCATTTTTAAATACCTTTCCAACAATATATCACACGTTAGGGTTGAAAATTAAAAAGAAAATTATATATAGGGGGGGCTACCCTAATAAAACATTTTTCCCCATTTTTATTTTACCACTTTGTCGGCGTGATTGATACACATATTGGTACCAAATTTCAGCTTTCTAGTGCAGTCACAGAGATTAAGCGAGGACGGACAGACGGACAGACAGACATGGTGAAACTATAAGGGTTCCTAGTTGACTACGGAACCCTAAAAACACAATTTTAAAAAATTTTTTGAGGATGACGATTATTTATCACTCTTTGCTTTTATCGTAAATATTACTCATATAAAACATGTAACGAAAACTCTGTGTTTCCAGATAAGTGCGTTATCAGTATGAGTATTCAAAACTAAATAAATAAATTTATGTATTAAAAATGGTAGAGACAAGCTGTAGCCATATTATGTTTGTAGCATTAATGAGACGCATCGACCTGACGGTTAGCAATACGCTCTCACAGAATACCAGCGTAAAATAGCGGATTAATGCTGTTGTTTCGTATTTAGATTGTAAAAAATTGGAGACCCTTTTTACTGGAAACGATGCATTCCATATTAGTCCTCAGGGGTGACAACGCATCTGTTTTTAATTCAAATTCAAATTTAAAATCATTTATTTGCCAGAATGTATGTGTACAATATAGTATGATCTTAAATTATGCATAATGGCCCATTTACATTCTACCATTTTATATGGTGTGCAAATATTTTATTAGTATACATGCAAAAAAATTTACAAGTGGGAATTCAATTAAAATGTCACATTGTTTAATGGTTGTTGTTAAGTGTTAATGTCCATACTTTCATTTTGTTTGTAATTAATCAATTATTAGATATATATCAATATTACTGATTTCGGATTTATTTTCCACTAAAAGACATAAATTCGTTTAGATCGTAAAAACATTTTTCTTTTAACCATTGTATTAACTTTTTTTAAACGTGGTTAAAGGTAACTCTTTAAAGTCGTTGGGTATTTTGTTATACACTTTTATAGCATTTACGTAAGAGTTCCTTTCATACAATTTGAGCTTGCATTGAGGTAAGTATAATTTATGTTTATTTCTAGGAGCTACATTTTGTTCAGTTACATCTATTTGCCTTTCAAAGTGTTCAGGATGCTGTTTTACAAATATGCATATTTCTTTGATGTACAAGCATGTTAATGTTAAGATATTGTACTTTTTAAACAAGGGCTTACAGCTATCCGTATACCCTGCTCCATAGATTGCACGCACACATTTTTTTTGTACTCTAAATACTTTTATTATATCTACTGAATTGCCCCATAATAAAAGACCACATGATAGTACTGACGAAACATATCCGTGATATGCACATAGAGCAGCATCAGTTGATACCGTGACTCGTAATCTCTTTATTGCGTAGACAAATCTGTCGAGTTTGTCACAAACGTAATCGACATGTGTTTTCCAGTCGCAATTTTGATCCAACATTATACCCAGAAATTTGGTACTTGCTACTTGTTCGATGATCTTATCATTATATTTAACATTAATATTCAATAGTTTTCTCTGGTATGTCTGAAATTGGATCATTTTAGTTTTTTCCATATTAATCTGTAAATTATTACAATAAAGCCAGTTTATTATATTTTTGATTGCTTTATTTATCTCTGTTTCATATGTATCTGCATTTTCGCATTTCACGATAAGGGTTGTGTCATCAGCAAACAAGATTGTGTTATGGCGAGTGATATTAGGGAGATCATTAATATACATGAGGAATAAGAATGGTCCCAATACACTGCCTTGTGGCACGCCAAAGTCATTTATCTGATTTTCGCTTCTGTAAAACACTTTTTTGTCTTTATTGACTTTAGATATTTCCACACATTGTTGTCTCTCACATAAATAGTTTCTCAACCAGTCGTTAGCTTTACCTCTTATCCCAAATTTTTCTAATTTGTGTAAGAGCAATTTATGGTCCACGAAATCGAACGCCTTGCTCATGTCCAGGAAGATTGCCGCAACTGGAAAGCCATCATTTATGGCCTGGGTGACAATTTTAATCAAATTAAAACATGCTAACGAGGTTTTCTTGTTGGTGTTTTAATGTGCAACTCAATGTTAAAAATTTTTAATATACTTTGTAACTCCTCACAATTCTTATTTGGTTTTAAGATGTCCAAGTTCCAGTCACCGCAAAGAATAATTTTTTTATGCTTTTTAGTAATTCTTGCTAGTAACTGTTTTAGCTTTTCAAGAAATATTTGTGGATTGCTATTAGGAGTTCTATATAAACAGATAATCGTAATCTTATTTACTTCTACGCCACAACATTCAAAATTAAATTTACATGTCAAATCATTAATATTAGTAACGTTTTTATATTTCAAATTGTTATTTAACATTATACATACCCTTCCTCGTTTACTGTCCCGTGAATAAGATGCAACTAGTTTGTAACCAGGCATTTTAAAAAGCATTTCTGTACCTTTTTTAAGGAAAGTTTCTGTCAAACACACCATATATATCTTTGAACCATTTTGTGAAAACTCTCGGATTACAAATGTTAGTTCCTCAGATTTATTTATAGCGCCGGCAATATTCTGGTGAAATATTCTAAAATTTAATCCCAATTTAGGGACGAAAACATTTATTTGTTTCTAAAGGCAACTGTATGTCAGGTTGTTCATTTAAACACTGTATTGATTTTTTAAAATAATAGGGTATTGTTCCCTTCTTATAAGTTTCGGTATTTACCGTTTGCTTTTTGCTCAAAGAGGCGGTAGCAGAGTTCAATTCAGAATGTTTTTTACAGGACTTAAAGTAGAAAGAAATTGTGCCCTTCTTTGGAATAATTTTGCATTCTGTTTTAGCCTTTTTCATAAATAATAACATATTTTTGGCACATAAAAAATTATTTTTATAATAATTTGAGTCAATCTTAAAATTGATTTTTTTTACATACATCTAATAAGTAGTAATATTTATTATACGGATAGTTCCATTCTGTATTTATAAATGAGCAATTTTTAAAGTTGTTACATATACCTTTAAATTGTTATTTAACATATTTTCATTTAAATATCTGTTCTGTAAAACATTAAATACTAATATTTTAGTTTTTTGAAAGTATTTGAGCATTGTTACTAATTCTATTATTATTTTGTTAGGGTTAGTATCATTTTCTCCTATACATATTATTAGATAATTATCTTCCGAATCGTCCAGTTTATAAATAGGTTTAAGAATTTCCTCCGTAGTGGCATGTGGTTTTGTAGTTGAAAATATCTGGTAATTTTTGTACTGAGTATTATTTCTTGATTGTATAAGTAGTGTAGCCAACCCTGTGAATTGTTGTCCTCCGAATATAATTAATTGGGATTTTGGCTTGTTTTCAATAGGTTTAGAAAGTTGCTGATTACTGTTTACTTTGTTTTCTTTATGCAGATTTAATAAAGCGCCATCTGTTGTGTATTGATCGCACTTTTTAAAATTAAGTTTGTGCACTTGTGATGACAGGCTACCTATGTTATTAGAAGTAGCTAATTCAGTTGTGTTTCCTACACAAGATTTTGTCTCAAGTTCAGTGAAAGTCATATCCAGTTTCTTTCCCTCAATAATATTAAGATTTTTAACCTTACAGCTTTGTTTTTTTATAGTTGAACTTTTTTTTGTACTACTTGGTGTTACGCTACAAATTTTTTTAATTTGTTTATGGTATTTTGTTGTTCAGCTGTTTGTTTCTTTAAAGTGATGTTTTCCATGGTTAAGTTATCTATTTCGTTGTTAGCCGTATTTAATTGCATTCTCAATCGTTCAATTTCCTCGTTGAGTCTTTCAAATTCTTCGTAACTTAGACCTGTTGACAACTGTGGTAGGCTTTTCGAAAGATATTCGGAATTTGTTGACTCAAATGAAGAATTTGGCGAATTAATTATTGTTTTATTTTTTCTTAAAGTAATATTTTCAAAATCCATGTCTGGTTTTTTATCTTTTTAACAGTTCTATAAAAAAGCTGGTTCTAAAAAAGTTCTAAAGAATACACAAAAAAAGTTCGCACGGATGGGATTCGAACTCGCTTTCTACAATTTCATACCATGTCAAGAACGCTAAACATTAATAGCTAATCGCGCTGTAGACAATTGGTCGAATATAAGGATCTTGTTCAGCTTGTGTGAAATTTGAACCCAACAAATTCGTTATGGTGACTCATTGATAAAATATTTTTGCACTAATTTTCTATTTTAGCACTAAATAGGTCGTAGTTACACGGTTTCTTATGATTACTTCACTGAC